CTCGCTGACCAATGTTCCCAACGGAACGGGAGGAACTAAGACTAAGACTAATGAATGTATGATATGTGTTATGTAAGATGAGAACGATTAGAACCTAAGGAATGTGTGATATGTGTTATGTAAGATGAGAACGATTAGAACCTAAGGAATGTGTGATATGTGTTATGTAAGATGAGAACGATTAGAACGTAATGAATGTGTGATGTGTTATGTAAGATGAGAACGATTAGAACCTAATGAATGTGTGATATGTGTTATGTAATATGAGAACGATTAGAACGTAATGAATGTGTGATGTGTTATGTAAGATGAGAACAACTAGAAGCACTTTTCAATCCAAAAAAAAAGTGAATATATTACGATTTCAATTAACGTAGAGGTAGGTACCCATCACATGCATGGGTTGTATGTCAATATATGGAGGAAACTCTTTTTCCAGTTATGTAGCCATAACAACCATAAAAAATAGTGGTGGATCACTTTTCCCTTCGTCAGAGAATATTCCTGAAGTGATCGTAAATTTATATTCCAAGAATGGTTTAAACTGGACAACAAATGTAGGAGGAATTTGCGAAAGAATTGTTTATATAAAAATTTTCTAATAAAACTTGATATATCGAATAAGAAGAAATTACAATACCAACTGGGGTTGCAGCATTTTCATATTGGAATATTTTGAATTCTTGTCTAAAACCAACTCATTGTTAAATATTTTCAAATGATAGCGATTCTATCATTTAAGAAATTTTATATTGGCAAAAATAATAAAATCAACCAATAAAAAAATAATGTGATAAGGCTTATAACTCTGCAATGAACATCTTTCATTTTGTATTTGTGGAAGACTTATCATACTTATATATTCATAAATTATTTCTCTGAGATACATACATTACTGATAGAGACAAAAGTATTTATAAGATTGGGTGTTCTTTTGAAACATAACAGAGAAGACCATGAAATTAATATAACGTGCTTATTATGTTTTATGTATCATGTTTTATTATTATTATTTTAACGTAGCGTAGTACTAAATTTTAAAGAATTATTTTTTTTAGGTTATATGGTGACTCTAGCAGTCTTAATACAAAACACTGAAGTTTTAAAATGTGATTAATGAAACAACACTAAGATTATTACACGTTGAACGATATACACCTTTCTCATGTTTTACGTAAATCTGCGTATAAAACATACATATTCTTTTATCTAATAAAATTGGCTCAATTCAGTATGAGAATAATACAAAACACTAAAGTTTTAAAATGTGATTAATGAAATAACATTAAGATTATTACACGTTGAACGATATACACCTTTCTCATGTTTTACGTAAATCTGCGTATAAAACATACATATTCTTTTATCTAATAAAATTGGCTCAGTTCAGTATGAGAATAATTCAAAACATTATGTGTTATGAATTTCTCACATTAAGGAAATTGGAATTCATTCACTTGCTGCGTCCTGTAACCGTAAACGACACAAAGATGTAACGCAGATATTTTTCACACGGTTTTCATCACACAAGCACAAAAACTATAATTTATTTGATCGAATGATCCCGAGCTCTTATAGTACCATTATTTTCATAAGGAACTTGTGTTCATAGTTTTAAAGCAATTTTGAAATTGAACAGTCTAAAAAATAAACTTAACATCAGCATGCCAATCATTGCTAAACAGTCTAAGGACAATCGTGTAGTTTCCGTCAGTTGAGCAATTGGAGATCATAGTAATAAATAATGTTACTTAAACCATATTTCATTATTGTTTTTTTTTTCTCTGCAGGACTTTAAAGGACGCAAGAAATCACGTGACTACTTAGTATCTATTGTATTTGAATATTTTTATTTATGCTGTCCCTAATTTTGAATTACTGACCAAAGGGAAAGCAGGACCCTACTACCCACCATGCATACTAAGGGATTAACTGTATCTCTCATAACGTATCCACAGTTTAAAGTGCGGGGAATATTTTGTGCACCAAATCGAACCCGGTTCTTCAGCTTCAAAGTCTAGAGCTTTACCCGTGCCCCAGAATATAAGTGAAAAATATAGGAAATACAAAAATTACTTAAGTTTGTGTTTTAAAGACTAATCAGGGTCATAATTAAAATTAAACTCAAAAGATGAAAATCATGGCTCCGACTTGGTTTTCACTGAATGCAAATACAAAATTAAATAATCTTTTTATCTCTGATTTTCATCGTTTTCTTCAAAAACCGTATTCACAAACCCACTGTTATAATTGATTATTGGTTCCTTATGTTATAACTGTGATGTAATAAACTACGACTTTTGTATTATGTAATGCCAATTGTATACTGTATTA